ATGTGGACTGAGAACTCCCAGAAGTACAAGCTGGATTTCGAAAGGGCAGAGGAACTAGAGACCAAATTGCTAACATGCGCTGGATTATGGAGAAAGCCAGAGAGTTCCAGAAAAAATCTGCTTCATTGACTACACAAAAGTCTTTGACTGTGTCGACCACAGCAATCTATGGCAAGTTCTTAAAGAAATGGGAGTGCCTGACCACCTTATCTATCTCCTGAGAAATCTATACATGGGACAGGAAAAAACAGAACTCAATATGGAACAACCGATTGGTTGGAAATTGGGAAAGGAGTATGACAAGGCTTTATATTGTCCCCCAGCTTATTTAACTTATTTGCAGAATACATCATGCGAAAGGCCGGAGGAATCCCAAGCCGGAATTAAGACTGCCGGAAGAAATATTAACAACCTCCAATATGCAATGATACCACTCTGATGGCAGAAACTGAAGAGGAATTAAGAACCTCTTCATGAGGGTGAAAGAAGAGAGTGCAAAAACAGTCTGAAGCTCAACCTCAAAAAGACTAAGATCATGGCCACTGGCCCCATCACCTCTTGGCATAAATAGAAGGGGAAGATATGGAGGCAGTGACAGTTTACCTTCCTGGGCTCCATGATCACTGCAGATGGTGAAAGCAGCCATGAAATTAAAAGACGCCTGCTTCTTGGGAGGAAAGCAATGACAAACCTCGACAGCATCTTAAAAAGCAAGTGAGAGCTGGACCATAAAGAAAGCTGACTGCTGAAGAATTGATGCTTTTGAATTGTGGTGCTGCAGGAGGCTCTTGAGAGTCCCCTGGACTGCATGAAGCTGAGGCTCCAATACTTTGGTCATCTCATGAGAAGAGAAGACTCCCTGGAAAAGATGCTGAAGTTAGGAAAGTGTGAAGGAAAGAGGAGAAGGGGCGACAGAGGATGAGATGGTTGGACAGTGTCATCGAAGCTACCAGCATGAATTTGACCCAACTCCGGGAGGCAGTGGAAGACAGGAGGGCCTGTCATGCTCTGGTCCTTGGGGTCATGAAGAGTCGGACACGTCTAAACGACTAAACAGCAACAAGAAAAGGGCAAGGTGGTGTTTTGGAATACAATAGGCAGGACTGGGGGCAATGTTAGGAGTAATGTGTACTTTCACAGAGTAATTGGTAGGCAAAAGGGATCTCATCCCTGGATTGTTAAACATGAACATTCTCAAAGCAATGGAGTGGACAAAAGCGCAACTTTTTGATGAAAAGGTGTTGATTAATCCTCCCCTAGACCACTAAGCCAAGCTGCAGACTTATGGTTCTGGTCCATGGGGTCATGAAGAGTCGGACACGTCTAAAAAACTAAACAGCAACAACAAAAGGGCAAGGTGGTGTTTTGGAAGACAATAGGCAGGTCTGGGGGCAATGTTAGGAGTAATGTGGTGTACTTTCGCAGAGTAATTGGTAGGCAAAAGGGATCGCATGCATGGATTATTAAACATGAACATCCTCAAAGCAATGGAGCAGTCAAAAGGGGCAGCTTTTTGATGAAAAGGTGTTGACTGCTAAGCCCAGCTGCAAACTTATATGGCTACTTCTGACAGCTGCTTGCAAGCTTGTCCCATTTGCAGATCCTTATCTTCGGAGGTGATAGATGCCTGTTTGGTTCTAGCTGTAGGGCTGCCATAATTGCATTCATTTGTGCCTCGCCATACTGTATGTGATTGTCAGATGTGCTGATGAGAGCTTGACGAGTGCACCAACCTAAGAATTGGAAGGCCAAGAATCACTAGAGATGAAACTGTATGAGACAGAAGCTTCATCATTAGAGAGGGATAAAATGTTTCCTTCCAAGTACATAATTCTTCAAAGTTGTGGTTTGCCCAATGAACTTGCAAATGAATCTCCCAGTGACCAGTCACCACATCAAAGCAGCCTAATTTGAAGATTCTGGAGCTGAGAAGCCTTACTCTAGGGTAAAAAAACCACAATCTCTTAAAAGAGTTCTGCTTTTGATGACATGATCATTGTAACATTCTATTTAACTTTCAAAAGGGTCCAGCTAGGCTAGTGAACTTAGAATTTGCTAAAAAGTCTTTGATGGGTCAGACATAAGTGGGGGAGGCCTTCTGCTATTTAGAAAAGCCTATTTGAGCCCTAGATGAAAAGGGAAAAAGAAGATGAAATAAGAAAAACATTTTGTTGCAGATGAAAGTCCGGTGCAAAAAGTAAAATAGCAAAGGCTCAGAGACCAATATTTCCCCTGATGTATGGGGCAGAGAAAGAACCAGTAATTGGAGCTGAGAGGAAAAAGTGTAATAAAACCTCTAATATGATCCCTACCTGGATTGAAAAAAGTCTTTGATGGGTCAGACATAAGTGGGGGAGGCCTTCTGCTATTTAGAAAAGCCTATTTGAGCCCTAGATGAAAAGGGAAAAAGAAGATGAAATAAGAAAAACATTTTGTTGCAGATGAAAGTCCGGTGCAAAAAGTAAAATAGCAAAGGCTCAGAGACCAATATTTCCCCTGATGTATGGGGCAGAGAAAGAACCAGTAATTGGAGCTGAGAGGAAAAAGTGTAATAAAACCTCTAATATGATCCCTACCTGGATTGAATGGTGTTGTTAAGCCCTTCGTAAAAAGTGTGCTGCTTATGTACCAATTTATAGGACTTAAAGCACTCTTCCGATGGTTTACAAGTTAATTACGCAAGCTACACATTGCCCTCCCCAGTGAGCTGAGTACTCATTTTACCAACCTCAGAAGGATGGAAGGCTGAGTGAACTGGGCTGAGATAGCTGTCTGGGGTTAAACTCTGCATTGTGAGCAGATTTTGGCTGTAGTACAGCAGTTTAACCACGAGGCTATAGGTGACTTCATGAGAGGAAAGGATGACTTCCACCCAACTCATCCTCCCATGTTTTGCTAATACAAAACCTATGTTATAGCAACTCCACTGGCTGTGGATCCATTTCCAGGCACAATTCAAAGTGCTGGTTTTAGCCTCTAAGGCCTTGAACAGCTTGGGCCCAAGCTATCTCAAGGACCGCATCTCCTTCTGTGAACCTGCCTGGCTGTGAAGATCAGCAGGGGAGGCCTTTCTCTCAGTCCCACCACCCTCACAGGTGTGTTTGGTGGAGACAAACAGGAAGGTCTTCTCTGCTGCTACTCCCAGACTCTGGATCTCCTTCCCACAGGAGACAGCCTGGCCCCATCTTTGCTGTCCTTCTGCAAGCGGGCAAAGACCTTTCTCTTCAGACAGGCTTTTCATTAGTGACTGACTGACTGGGAGACAATAAATGGGAGGGTTTCTATTTTTGTGCTTCTAAATTTTTTCCCCCTGTAATGCTTTTATCTGACATTTTTAATATAATGCCTTTAATTTATGCTTGAATAATTTACTGTTTTTAGCTTTTAATATTGATGTGAGCCTCCTTGTGTCCTTTTTTAAAAGGAGAAAGACATGCTTAAAATTTTTAAATAAATACAAGCAAGGTCTGCAGCATCCTTGCTCCCAATCAAGTTACAAGTTTTTTTCTTGTATTTTGACTTGGCATTAACATTCGCACCTGATAATAGGAAAATAAGCTGGCAAGGTTCAGTGCTATTGAAAACAAATTTCTAACCCTTCTTCCTATAACCTGTGCTGGCTATTCCCCTCCCGCCACTGAATATTACTTCATTATGACCTGAATAATAATGGAGTGCCATCATATTCAAGAAAGAAGAGCGTCAGGATATTAAGTTCCCAGGCACGCAATTCAGACCTACACAGTTAAGCACAGTTAACTAAAGTACAGTATGGAAAGCTAGAAAAATGCTGAAACAACTAGCAGCCCAGCTTGAAAAAGCAAGCACAAAAATAAAAACAGAAGTAGGAAGCAAATACAATTCTGTTTGTTGATGTCTGTCTTTAAGAGCAAAAAGATACTGCTAATCAAATCTACTCTGAGGAGAAACATTCTAGCTGATGGACAAGCCATTCACAATCTTCTTCTCAGTCTCAGAATCTGAAAATCCAGTTTAAGGCAGGAGAATTCCAAAATGTCCTCATTTTTATTCAGAAACTAACTTACCGCAGAAGCCTCTGTGCTGCAAGGTCAGAAGACCTGCAATCGTAAGATCAAATCCACGCAATGGAGTGAACTCCCATCGCTAGTCCCAGAAGTGCAGGTGCTCCTGCGCATGCGCAAAGGGGTGGAGGAGTGCTTAACTTGGTGCTGGCGGGCATGAGTGCACTCCCCCATCACTTTGCACATGTGCCCAAGAGTGTGGGGGGGTGCCCCGCCTTCGTCACGAGCCTCAGCTGGTCCACGGTCCTAAAAAGGTTGGGAACCGCTGACCTAGACGATTGCGAAATCTCTGATGTATATATGGTATGAATGTCTTGCTTTTGTTGTCTTTTGTTGTCTTTGTTGTGTATTACTCTGTTGTTTTATATCTTTGTATGCATGAAATACAAAGATACAGCTGCCGCCGCTGCTGCCCAAACATTCCTCATAGTAGTGCAAGCCCTGTTTGTGTCAGTGGAAACCAGTACATACTAAAATAACTCCTGAATTATCTGAGCAAAGCCATTAACTAACATGCATCACTTGCTCATTGGGAAGATGAGCCTACCAATAGCTAGCTGGTGGAACTGGAAGTTCACTGATCTTCAAGTCCCACTGGGGCTCTGTCTTCTGAGATACTGAGTTCTTCTTGCTAGGCTCAGCAAACCTGACACATATGTAAAGGAGGGGAGATTTCAGAGTCAGGTAGCCAGTGGAAGAAAGATGTTCTTCCCTTTTTGATCTGTTTCCCTATTGTCTATGGCAGTGTTGTCATGCCCAGCTCTCATAAAAGTGCAGAAGTTGGAGAAATAATCTTTGTACAGTAGTCTGCTTAACACTTTAATTGTTAATGCATTTTTAGAACAGTGGATCACATGCGTCCAGAAAGATTAGCTGAGACAGATTCCTATGCTGCCTGTTAAACAGACACATGATGATGCAACTAACGGAAATGTTTGCTTTTTGTTGGTTAAGGTTATTAAACTGGTTGAATAGTTGCAAGATAGAAAAGTAGATATTACCATGGTAACACTCCAGCGTTCTCTTCAATTGGTCATGTTTCTTGGTCATCATATCCAAATAATGCTAGCAATATGTGACCTTCTTTACTCATATCACTAACTGACAATGGCCTATGTAACAGAATGTAAGAATCTCATGACCTCACACTGACTGTTAGCCACTATTATGATGCTCATAGTACTGTCATTCTGGATTCATTTCAGTCTGCCATTTGTCTTGGGTTTGGGGAGGAGGGTGCTATTGCTCATCTATTGGGTGGAATAGAAAATCTGTAGCAGGAGCAAGATGGAATGAATGGGACTTCATTAACAGGATTTAAATACTGCTTTATTAAAGGCCAAATTCTTCTTGCTTTGTTGCACCAGTGGGAGAAAACAAGGTGTAACTCCTAGTAGTTAATTGTCTCCATTTAATAAGTCTGAGGAAGAGGACTGGATCTATGAAAGTTCACCTTAAAATACAGCAGTTAGTCTTTAAAGTGTCTGATCTATTTAAGAAGTTCCTGCTTAAATTCCTCATTGTGCACTAGTTGGGTGACTTGGTGCATGACCAGGAATCCCAATGGGCACTTGTTAATTAGTAGCTGTTTGCTGGTGGAAATTATGATGTCTTCCTTTTCCCAGTGTAACTATGCAGGAGGACTTTGGCCACAGTTTGAAACAACAACAGAAAGCACCAAACGTTAAAACTAGACAATAGTTTTAAATAAGGTTTCTCCAATTAGTAATTTTAAGCAATAATTTAGGAAGAACAGTTTATAATGTAACCATATACATCTACTGAGAAATAAGATCCGTTGAGTACAACCAGCAGCATCATTCTGCAGTCAATAGCTGAAATTTTGTGAATCTTCTTCAAGGGACATCAACATACAGAATGGCTCATATCCTGAATACATTCAGGTTGTAATCTGAAACAATAAGGTATGAATCCAGTTGAACAGATTGGGAAAGTGTGTAGGTTTGTGCTGCAAAGGCTGGGTTACAGTGATTAGTGTTTCTGTCTTCTGGCAGCCAGCTGGGTAAGCCAAGGCTTATAAAAGTCACTCCAATTTGTAATCATCATCAGAGATTCCAGGACTGATGCTGGGTCCAGCAAAAGCTTCCAGATATGGAACAGATCATTTTTGAATAAATATGACTTCATCCAGAGCAATCTTTTCTTCTGTCATTTAGCCATTTGATCCCTGTACTATATTTCAAGTCAATTTCTACATATGACAACCTTTATAGGGTTTCCAAGGTATGTGAAATATTGAAGGAGTGTTTTAGCAGTGCTATTTACCAATAAGCTTCCATTGCTGAGTAGGGATTTGAACCTAGGCGTGAGTCCTTGTCAGACATTCTGCCCAGTAGTCCACATATCCTATCTGTCTTAATTCATTGATCTTACTTATCCTCACCATTCTATTACTGTTTATAAAAATGAATTCAAGGTTGCAAACGAAGCACCTTGATTTAGTGATGGTGGTGGTGGCGGCAGAGGTGAGAGAAACACAGAAATTAACTGATCTCTTGCTCCGAAACTAGTTTGGGTACTGCAGAATAGTCTTACTCAAGTTATTCTTACTCTGGTACTCAGTACATCCGACTGATCCCAGTGAACATCCCTCAGTAGATTTTTGTGTACATTTACAACATGTTGAAAAGCATGGGGGGCTATAATGGAACCCTGAAGGACATAGGTGATCACCTTCCCTAAGGAAGATTACTTTCCTATCAACTTCCTCTGAACTCTTCAGAAAGAAGCCCCCCCCCACACACACACAAAGGATGCCACCAATGCCAAGGCTAAAAACATAGGCAGAGGAATGTCATGACCAATGGTAATGAAAGCCACTGAGAAAGTCTAAGGCAACTGAGAGGCTCGCACTTCTTGATGCTGTTCATAACCCCAGCACAACCAATGTAATCTCCATGTCCACCTGAAAACCAGATTAAACCACCTCTAGGTAATTGGTTTTATATAGATAGTCACAACAATGATCTGCTCAAGCATCTTGCCTATAAAAGAAATGGCAACAAGTGGAACACTTGAGGTGAGCATAGGACTGTTGCCTTCTCATCTCCCTAGTACTGTCTGCTGTTTGAAATTAATGCACTATAGAAAGAGGTAGCACGTAGGTTGTCTTGCACATTTCCTTCATTAGATCTCCAAGTTCGCCCATCAGCTTTTGAGATCATCAGTGATGATCTCCTGCATGAACATAAATGCTTTCTGTTTCCTACCTATTGAGAAGATTCCAAAAGCTGGTGGTATTCACACACTCGCTCTTTACAGTGATAGATATGGGGCCTAAAAAACCATTAAACTAAAGGTAGGCTCTAGTATAAGGCTTCAGTATGTACACTAGAAGGACAGATTGGAAAACTAATTAATGAGTGTTACATACAGCACTGATGGTACCTGTCTGTCATGGGTTTGGAGGGAAAGTTCCATCCTATGGGGAGTGGAAGGCGGGACATCAGGAGGAGGGGCTGTACTGTATATATATGTGGAGCTTGTGTGGAGAAGAAGAAGGAGCTGAGAAGAAGAAGCTGGTGTGGGAGTCTGTGTGTCAGACAGGGTACTACTGTGTGTCAGTCAGTACCTACCTGATAGGTTCAGGTGTCTGTATGGGTAGCCAGAACTGATAGGTTCAGGGTCTGTGCTTTATTTAAAGGTGTTCTGTGTGAACCAAACTGGTGTATGTATGATTGAGACTAAGCCACGTTACTGTATCTTATTCACTTGATCATTTTATTTTCCCTGTGTGTTATTTAAATAAACCTTATTCCTTTGTTTGTTGAAAATCCATTCCTGGTCTGTGTGACTCCTTACAGGGAATGGTTGGTGGCAGCTTAGTTAAACTGTGGCATATCCCAGTAGGTCTGGGGTTGTCACATTGATTGGTGTCCAGCGTGTGGGATACGCTCCTTCATGGATTGCTGCCTTGTCGTGGCGAAGGGGCTTGAGTAACTCAGAGAAGCTATGGGCTATGCCGTGCAGGGACACCCAAGATGGACAGGACATAGTGGAGAGTTCCGACTAAACGCAATCCACCTGGAGTAGGAAATGGCAAGCCACTCCAGTATCTTTGCCAAGAACACCCCATGATCAGAAACAAAAGGCTAAAAGATATGACGCTGGAAGATGGAAGGAAGGAGTCCAACATGCTACTGAGGAAGAGTGGAGGACAAGTACAAGTAGCTCCAGAGCTAATGATGTGGTTGGGCCAAAGCCGAAAGGACGCTCAGCTGTGGACGTGCCTGGAAGTGAAAGGAAAGTCCAATGCTG